GGGTTGAACGTACCTGCCACACGGGATCATGGGAAATGAATACGCAAAGCGTTTAGTTCGTGTCACCAAAAACAAATGATGGACAAAATAAATCTTTTTGCGGTTGACAAAGATTGACCTTAGAACAAGATCCGGCCGTGGTGGAGGAGCTCAGCACCGGTGCATCGTGGGCGAGATCCCCGGCCGGCTGTGGCGAGGGCCATATACCGGCGGATTGACGACTGGCACGGCCAAATCTGGCGTGGGGGCCAGGATCGGTGGTCTGCTGCACTTCTCATCCTGTACTAGGAAAATGATATATATCCTCTCTGAAAAACCACGATTTAGTTTTTTTTTGAAAAACTTATGACCTATTCATGATCAACAATGACATATAACGAACATAAATAATAATAATAATTACATCCAGATCTGCTAGACCACCTAGCGACGACTATGAACACTGAAGCGAGCAGAAAGCGCGTCACCGTCATCCCTCATCCCTCACCGAAGCTAGGCAAAACTTGTTGCGGTAGACAATCGGAAAGTCGTCGTGCTAAGACTGATAGAACTAGCACACTAGAACAAAAACCACCGCCGATAAACAAAAGCGTAGATCGGAAGGATCAAACCTAAAGACATACTAACGTTAGAACGAAGACTAGATCATAGCGGACCAATCAAAGACAACCACCAACCGAATCCCACGGGATCTGTCGGGGACACACCTCCACACGCTCTCTGATGATACTAGAGGCACCACTGAAGCGGAGGCTAGGCGGGGAGAAACTTATTTCATCTTCAAGGAGCCGACACTGCCTCGTTTTCTTGAACATGACACAAACCCTAGCAAAATTCAAACAAACATATAAAAACGGAGTCCTCCTGTCTGCAAGGCCCGGATCCATCGCGTCCATGGTCCTATGACCACAGGAGATGAGGTTGATCGGCAGCGCCGTCGACGAGAGACATAAACCCTACATTCTCTTAGCCATGATTTAGCTTATGGCAACACCAGGTAGGATCCATGTACAAGCGTTTTTTTTCTTGTTGCAGGTGTTGGCTCAAAGTTCTATTTCGTGGATGACAACATCTAATTTGACTTTTCGGCTGGACCAACCAACGTCAATGTGTGAGTGACGGTTCCTACCCGACGACAATGTTTTGGAGGCTTGCTCCGGTTACATATGGTTCGACTCGTCGATTATGGTCCAGAGTTATAGTTTTGATGGTCAGGATGCGGAGATGATGCAGTGAACCAGGTACATTATGGATGGCCTCGTGGTCTTTGTTTGATATTTTATGCCGATTTGTTTTGCACTAATACTACGGATACATTTTTAACGAAAATACTTGGCATTACTTGGTATTGGTTAATACTCCCTCCTCCGCCCCATAATGTAAATTTTTTTTGATACTAGTGTAGTGTCAAAAAACATCTTACATTACGAGACGGAAGGAGTAATTAATAATATACTTCCTCAGTTCCAAATTACTCGTCGTAGAAATGAATGTATTTAGAACTAAAATACATCTAGATACATCCATACCTGCGACAAGTAATTCGGAACGGAGGGAGTATATCAAATCATATCTAGAAGGCCAAGAAGTTTATAATAATTATTAACATATGGTTGAGAGAATCAGTAGATGTAGAGATTAGATTATCCTCCTTAAAAAACACAGAGCTACGAATGTGTGTGTGATTACGTTCGGCTGACGCCTTCCTCGGTCGTCACCACCGTGATTAACAGGTATGGGACCCTTCTAATGCAGATTATGAGTTTCCGTTCACGTATATCAAATTGTCTATGATTAACTGAGCCACAAACAGAAATAGACGCTAGTAATTTAAACAGATCATCAGTGAGTAATAATTACAGGCACAAGAAAACAAATATACCAAAGTACTTGGAAGCTTCACGACTTTTTTCCATGTTTCGGGCACATATGACACATCACGGCACTTCCTTTTGTTTCGTTCCTTAACCCTAGGCAGCTGAACAAACTTTTTCCTTCAGACTTCACTGATAAACCTGTGGACTCGCCTTACCTCTACCTGCCACTTTGGTGGACGGTGGCAGGAAGGAGAATCTCAGTGCCTCAACTCCGGTTAGTAGTTCAGGTTAGGTTTTTTTTAGTCCTCGTAGGTGCGGCACTCGGGCGGATGGCTTCGGTTCTTCTTCGATTTTGTCTTTCGGGCTTCAATCTTCATCGAATTCGTCTGTTTGAACGTAGTCAACGGAGCTCTGGCATAGATTCATGTCGTCTCCTTGGGGCCGTGAAGCTATGGTTTCTCGGCATGTCGAGAGATTTGGTGTCAGGTGATTCAGATCTATGCAAGGGTTCAACGACGACGACTACGGCTCCAGGACAACCTCACTGCTGTCACCGACAAGGTCAAGCCGGCTCCAGTAAGGGAATGGTGACAGCGATGCGTCGGCGGCTCGTTCCGATGACACTAATGGCTTTCCAGTGGTCTCAGAATCTCGATGTAATTTTTATTATGTTTGAAATGCTTTGTACTACTTTCGATGGACTTTCATAATAGATCTGCTCTTTTCCGCAAAAGAGATATAAGCAGTGATGATACTAAAAATGATTGGGATGATACCTTTTTTGAATGGTGATTACTAAGATACTTAAATAGACCAAGACTTGCTTCGCAAAAATAAAAAGATATAGAACCTACTAGGCCAGTTTAATAGCTTGACGTAGGAAGACTTGAGCTTTTCTAAGAACCAACAGAAAACGGTTGGAGAATTGAGTGCAAAATGCTTGCAGGCCCGCGGTTTTGTCACATTTTTAACATCCAAATCATGGTAAACCTCCGTTTCAAAAAAAAATCATGGTAAACCAACGGAGCCAGGAATGTGATCACAATGCGAGTAGCTAAGCAGAGTTAATTATGTGAAAATATATGTTTAGATGTAGAGATAAATAACCACATTTTTCTCACAAATTACATATTCTACCCTAATCCGGCACAGCACATAACTTTTTACGACCTTCTTCTTTTGACAAAAAACTGGCAACTACTACTAGTTAACATTTACATGGACACTTATGTCAACTTCCTCACAGACCATTCCTACTCTCTCTCTCCCTCTCTCTCTCTCTCTCTCTGTGTGTGTGTGTGTCTCTCTGTGTGTGTGTGCGCGCGCGCGCGGCGCGCGTTTGCCCCTTCCCCTCCCCCACCCCGAAATATCATCTCCACATGAACTCTTACCTCGGCCAACAATTTCTTCCATGTGTGAATTCGTTGAGTTCCCTTCCCTCCCATCCATCAACGTCGCATGAGTAGCATAATACTCGTCCGCAAACAATGCACTGCCGACCATGTAGATGTCACTCACTCTATGCACCACTCCCTCAAGATTGCATCATAATACGACTATAGCCTAGTAAGAGGGTGTTTGTTTTCAGGGACTTAAAAAAATCCCTATAAGTCCCATCTAAACCAAACATGAGGGACTTATAGGGACTTAAAAGTAGACATTTGGGACTTATGAAATAAGACTCCCAAAGAGGGACTTATAGTTGTAATATGGTCTTTTAGTCCATGTTAAGTCCCAGGAACCAAACAGGTAGGGACTTTTTAGGGACTTAGGACTTATAAGTTGGGACTAAAAAAAGTCCTAGGACTTATGAGGCAAACAGGGCCTAACTACGGAAAATAATCTGGCAATTAGCAATGGAAAATTTGTTGAAATATATCGACGTCCAAGGTCCGTAGCAATGAAACCAACGCTAAATATAGATAGTCAATTGGTTTAGCCACCAAAGAGATAAAATATAACTCAAAACTTGCGGAATCCTTTTTGATGACATGCTTTCATGTATTGTATCTGGATTGCATGCGTGTGACATAAAGATAGAAATGGTGAATATTGTGATACTACGGTAAAATGAAAATGGGGTGTCACTTCGTTCTATGATTCTTTTCAGTAACCAATAATATCCATGCGCAAGAGGCAAATATATATATATTGATGATAAATCAACTTATCTATAGCCTAGCTCCCACCGTAGCTCCAATGTGCCCTCCAAGGCCCAATGATAGCAATATCAACCCATGAAGAAGTGCCACTATCTAAGCAAGAGACATTCGATCGAACAACATGAAGGGACAAGGAAAACAATCAACGGAGGATAGGTAAATAGAGTTCTGCCTTTGTACGCCCTAATGCATCGGCATGGAACCTTCTATAACCAGTGCTACATAAAATGGTACCAAGGGCAATGTAGAAGGGAACCTCTCCTTTGCCCTAGTTTTAGCCTACACCACGTAGAAGATTTCCGGCGCTTATCATTGGGATCACGAGCTTCATCATAACTTGACGAGTCTCCCTGACTCGTGGAGTTGTCCTCTATACATTGTAATCCTCTGTATTCTACACATGTTTTATCTTTTTGGAGGCCAAAACCTAGGTATATCGTGTTTTTCTGTGTTATGTGTTCAAGATCCCTGATTTCCTCACTTGATGCCCGTTCGACTACAAAATTCACGCAATGTCTCTAGTAGTACAATATAAAGATCACCCAACAATATAAAACGTCATATATTTTAAATTAGAGGGGGTGATTTCTTAGAAATGCTTTAGCTTTTCCCTTTTTCTAACAAAACTTAGCCGTGTTAACCTGTTAAGGGTTGTGACTTGTGACATACATACTTTGTTTTTGTTTCGGCTAAAATGGAACCGGGCCAAAAAAAAAACCCTTTTTTTCTACTAACGGGCTATCTCCACTTTCCGTGGGACAGGGTCGGATCTGACCCGTTAGACCCGTAACCGACCACTTTTCTCATTTGTTTTTCCTCCCGGTCAAATCTTCGCGCCAACGCACGCAAGCTCCCCACATCCCACGTCAAGTTACGGACAACAGATGAGAACCAGCCGCGCAGGCGGCGGCTACATATACATACACAAACACCGCAGCCGCGACTCTACTGATTATTGGTCACTGGCTGCAACCGGCTAGTCAGCAAACCATTCCCTTGCTGACCTCCATCTCGCCCACCGATGGCCGTCGCACCAAGCTCGCCGACGCAGCGCCTCCGCGCCTGTATGCCGCCGGCGGCAGCCTCCGCCACGCATGTCGCGCTGCGCGCTAGCAACGAGCCGCACAAGGCAGCAGCGACCACCGCGACGACGGTGGCCGTACCCGTACCCACTGCTGTTGTGGCGCCTGCGGAGAGGCGTTCCGACGCCCAGGTCGCGGCGCCGTCGTTGGCGTGCACGTGGGAGGACGTGCATGGCGCCGACGACTGGCGAGGGCTGGTGGAGCCGCTCCACCCGCTCCTCCTCGCCGAGGTCGTCCGGTACGGAGAGCTCGTCGGCGCGTGCTACCGCGCCCTGGACCTCGACCCAAGGTCAAAGCGGTACCTCAACTGCAAGCACGGGAAGAAGCAGATTCTGCAGGCGGTCGGCATGGCCGACGCCGGGTACCAAGTGACCAAGTACATCTACTCGGCCCCTGAGGTGACCCTGCCAATGGGGATCTGCCGTCCCTGCAGCAAAAGCCGGTGGATCGGCTACGTGGCCGTCGCGTCAGATAAAGAGGCGGGGCGGCTCGGCCGGCGGGACATCCTAGTCTCCTTCCGCGGCACCGTGACCTGCTCGGAGTGGCTGGCCAACTTCATGAGCGCGCTCGCTCCGGCGCGGTTTGATCCGGCCGACCCACGCCCGGACGTGAGGGTCGAGTCGGGGTTCCTCTCCCTCTACACCTCCGACAACGACACCGCCAAATTCACCGCCGGGAGCTGCCGCAACCAGCTGCTCTCCGAGATTTCCCGTCTCATCGCGGAGCACAAGCACGAGGACATGAGCATAACCCTCGCGGGCCACAGCATGGGGAGCTCCCTCGCGCTCCTACTCGGCTATGACCTCGCCGAGCTCGGCATGAACCGTGGCGTCCACGGCGGTGCAATCCCCATCACGGTGTTCTCCTTCGGGGGACCGCGCGTTGGCAACCTTGAGTTCAAGAACCGGTGCGACGAGCTTGGCGTCAAGGTACTCCGGGTTGCCAACGCGAACGACCCGGTCACCAAGATGCCCGGTGTCATCTTCAACGAGACCGTTAGGGTTCTGGGAGGGCGGTATGAGATGCCGTGGAGCAAGGCTTGCTATGCGCACGTCGGCGTTGAGGTCGCCCTCGACTTCTTCAAGGCCGGGGACATCGCCTGTGTACACGATCTGGAGGTATATATCGATCAGCTCCTAAAGATCCCTAAGGACGAGGTCGCCACAGCTTCCTCGGCGAATAGGGTTCAGTCTATGTTTGAGTGCTGGAGATGGCAAATGGCGATGATTCGTGCCGGAGAGTGGCTGCGCGCGCTAGGAATTTGATGTGCCGATTTGTCAATGCATAATTTGATTTTATGCATGTCCATCACTGCAGCCGCCTCAATGAATAGTGATATGAAATTGTGAATCATGCAGCCGCGCTCCTATATAATCGGGGATGAAGAGAGCTGATGAAACTAGGAGTTCCTCCAGATCGGATGTATACTTTTACATGTAAATCAACTTAAACCGACGGGACATATGAAGATATATACATGTGCATAACATGTTTATTATATACTAGACTAGATATAATGAAGGGAGATGTAATTCACTTCAATTGTAATAAGATATTATAATTGTATGTACCAATATTAGGATTCCGAACTCATTGGTAAGTTTACTAATTTCAAACACTATTAGAATATTTCTTCCATTTTTTAGCCTTAAATAGCTGGAGACAATGCTCTAAAAAGATTATTACATTAAAAAAATGATGATTTTAATTCGCATTTACCATCAGAAATGTTAAAACAAGGTGTAGAAAAGGTTTTAAGTACTACTCCCTCCGTTCCAAAATATTTGTCTTTTTAGTGATTTCAAATGGCTACCACATACGGATGTATATAGACATATTTTAGAGTGTAGATTCACTCATTTTGCTCCGTATGTAGTCACTTGTTAAAATCTCTAGAAAAATAAATATTTAGGAACGGAGGGAGTAGTACAAAACAGCTCAAATGGTTACCTGAATTTGGTTCGGGTGGTATACAAAGTTGGAGATTTGGGGGTCAATGTTACGAAACCTCATAGGAGATAGTCCATTTTGTGAACAACCTATTATTTGTATTTTGTTCTAATTTTTTATCACAGGATTATGTGCATATATTAGGGTTACCATGCCAAAATTAATTTTCTTTTTGCTTCATTTAGATATATATTTTCCATTTTTTCTAAAAAGGTGAAAAAACGCCCGCTGGGTCTACCATGGAACTCAGCTAACCATTTAATCCATTTGCAGCACATGAGTTCAAATTGTATATATTTTCTTGAAAATATTTTTTATACATCTTTTTAGAGCTAATTTGATACACCTATAGTTCAAAATGGGACCACTTTAAATAAGTGCGGATAAATTAATTGAATGTATAACATACGAGAATTAGTGGAACTTGTACAAAGCAACTTATATGAAGTTACGATACTAATAAAATAATTATTTTCAAAAACTCCACCGAATAATTAGATTTAAGAGAGGTGTTTTACATTTTTAGATAAGCAAAATATCAGTCACGTGGGTACTTTGCCCCACATGGCATTAAGGGGATAATATCTGGTGCTCCCAACGCCCAGGTGCTCCCGTGATACGGGCTCCTCATCTGGGAGTTGTTGTAGTTGCTGGACATAAGAGCAATTTTTGGACAATTAGGGGGCTTTTTTGCAAAATGTTCCAGTAGCTATAGCAGCTTCTAGATGCCGTCCACTTTTGAGATCCGACGACTTAGGAGCCCGTATCACGGGAGCACCTGGGCCTTGGTAGCACCAAATATTCGAGTTCAATGTCACCAACTGTACCAGACTCACCCATGTCGCGTCGATGTCATATGGGCCTGCATCCTTCAGATCCCCTTCTTCTCTCCCGCGTTGTTCCCCACCTTCTTCAAACCCCCTGCATTAATTAACACACACTCACATACAACTTCTCCACTCTGTCATTGTCTTTCAGCTTTTAACAAAAAATCAAACCTTTTTAAAAATCCTAAGACAAAAAGGCTAAATGGATGGTTATTTGCCCTAGTAGTTTCATATTTGCATAGATATTGTTTTGTAATATGTCATTATCCATCTCTGAACTAGCCGTGTGTGCTAATTCACTTGACATCACTTTATTGGTTCGAGGGGCAGGGTGGCGATCAATATCGACTGAGCATGTGATGTGATGTAGTAAGTTGTTAAAAACATGATACAAAAGTAATACACAAACATGCAACATTGATAACTAAAATAAAATTCCAAACTTGTTTCATTACATACATAATTAAATGGATCCCATACCAAACTACCTACTAATGGGATCCCTGAACTATCTACTAACATGATCCCCTTACTGAAATAAATTACTACTCCTAACAGCCGCAGCGGTCCCTGACACGTGTGACACGCCATACCCTTTTGTGCAACCACCTCCTAGCTCAGGGCGAGATCGCCTCCTTCTTAGCCTCTCAAATTGTGAGGTGCTTCCGGGAGCGTTCTCGGCGGGTGAGTGCAAAGGCAGAGGTCAAGCAGTTCAATGCCAATCAATGCTCGGCTACGCTAGCAATGACAACCCAGTTGACATACCTCCAAGCCACGGGTAGACATATCACCCTAAAAGCATTCAGGGTGCGTTCCTGGGTGTCAGCCTCCACCCACTCGGTGGTCGCTCGAGCGTCCTGCCAGAGAGTCTCTCACCTTGGCTCTTTCAGAGGGCACATAGGCCTTCCAAGTGGCCACTGTCGTGAAGCGCTTCTCCTCATAAACCTTTAGGGCCGCCTCTCTCCTAGAACGCTACGCCGGAGGCAATACCTTCAACAATGCAACGTCCATTTGGGCCTAGTTGTCCTTCATGGTGGTGTGTGCGGGGTCCGGCGCACTGTCCTCCTTAGCAAGGGGTAGTGACGTGTCTTCCTCAGCACAAGGCATCGACGGGTCCTGTCAATATGCCACTATAGGAGAACATGCTATGCAAAGCCAAAAACACATAAAATCAAACCCATGATCATTATCAAGGTGTAGGTAGCGAGTCATACCCTTGACAGATCATCATCGCGATAGAGATGTTGATGATGTCGACGCAGTTCTCTGACTCCCGCAACTAGGTTATACCTCCCAGTCATGAGAGTTTCTCCTCGCAAAGATCAGCCCACTCTAGTGTTGAAGATTACGCTGCCACCAAGGTATCCGTGCATACCGCAGTAGCAACACTGCGACACTCCGTGGAACAACACAAAAAAACAATGAAAAGATTAGATCTAATCTACAGAGATATGTCAGCTTGAAATGGGGACATGACTTTGCTAGGAGAAGCATGGTCATCCAAGACCTTTGGTGTCTCTCCTAGGGTGCCCTTGGCCCTCAATATATACATGGCCAAGGGGTTTGGGTTGACAAAGCCAGGATGGAGTACCCCCTTGCGTCGAGGGGTCCTACCATGACTCCACCATGTTTCCTTGCCTCCCGAACAAGGGGGGTGCTGGCCGACTTGCGCCTTGAGCTTCTTTGCCCCCAAGCCGGTGATAGGACAACCCATTGGGAGCCTTCTAGAATGTCCAGGAATATTTCGGACCATCAAAAAGATTCTACCACATTCTAGAACTTCTAGTATCTATCATACATCACCAAGACATTTCGGACCTCCAGAAACACTTCAAAGATCATCCAAAACATTTTTGGAACCCTTCTCTCTCATCCTCCATTAAATCATAGAATTCCAACATCTTGCCAATCGTTAAGTGTGTGACCTTATAGGTTTGAGCATACATGGACATGTCCAGAACACCTTCTCGGGCCAATAATAATTAGTGGGATCTAGACACCCATAATAATGTTGGGGAACATAGTAATTTCAAAAAAAAATCCTACGCACACTCAAGATCATGATGATGCATAGCAACAAGAAGAGAGTGTGTGTCCACGTACCCTCGTAGACCGAAAGCGGAAGCGTTAGCACATCGCGGTTGATGTAGTCGTACATATTCACAATCCGACCGATCAAGTGCCGAATGCACGGCACCTCCGAGTTCTGCACACGTTCAACTCGATGACGTCCCTCGAACTCCAATCCAGCCGAGTGTTGAGGGAGAGTTTCGTCAGCACGACGGCGTGGTGACGATGATGATGTTCTACCGACGCAGGGCTTCGCATAAGCACCGCTACGATATGATCGAGGTGGATTATGATGGAGGGGGGGCACCGCACACGGCTAAGAGATCAAGAGATCAATTGTTGTATCTTTGGGGTGCCCCTGCCCCCGTATATAAAGGAGTGGAGGGGGGAGGGCCGACCCTCTCTATGGCGCGTCCTAGGGGAGTCCTACTCCCACCGGGAGTAGGATTCCCCCTTTCCTAGTAGAACTAGGAGCCCTTCCAAGTAGTAGGAGTAGGAGGGAAGGAAAGGGAAGGGAAAAGGAGAAGGAAGGAAGGGGGCGTCCCCCTCCCTAGTACAATTCGGACCAGCCCATGGGGAGGGGTGCGGCCACTCTTTGAGGCCTTTCTCTCCTTTCCCGTATGGCCCATTAAGGCCCAATACGAATTCCCGTAACTCCCCGGTACTCCCGAAAATACCCAAATCACTCGGAACCTTTCCGATGTCCGAATATAGTCGTCCAATATATCGATCTTTACTTCTCGACCATTTCGAGACTCCTCGTCATGTCCCCGATCTCATCCGGGACTCCGAACTCCTTCGGTACATCAAAACACATAAACTCATAATATAACCGTCATCGAACTTTAAGCGTGCGGACCCTATGGTTCGAGAACTATGTGGACATGACCGAGACACGTCTCCGGTCAATAACCAATAGTGGAACCTGGATGCTCATATTGGCTCCTACATATTTTACAAAGATCTTTATCGGTCAAACCGCATAACAACATATGTTGTTCCCTTTGTCATCGGTATGTTATTTGCCCGAGATTCGATCATCGGTATCTCAATACCTAGTTCAATCTCGTTACCGGCAGGTCTCTTTACTCATTCCATAATACATCAACCTGCAACTAACTCATAAGTTGCAATGCTTGCAAGGCTTAAGTGATGTGCATTACCGAGTGGGCCCAGAGATACCTCTCCGACAATCGGAGTGACAAATCCTAATCTCGAAATACGCCAACCCAACAAGTACCTTCGGAGACACCTGTAGAGCACTTTTATAATCACCCAGTTATGTTGTGATGTTTGGTAGCACACAAAGTGTTCCTTCGATAAACGGGAGTTGCATAATCTCATAGTCATAGGAACATGTATACGTCATGAAGAAAGCAATAGCAACAAACTAAATGATCAAGTGCTAAGCTAACAGA